CTCCGGTCTTATCCTCGCGAGTAGCAGCGACCACCGAGAGACACGAGCGTTCGGAAGGGACGAGGAAAGCGAGACTCTTAACGCGGAGCACTTTGTCGAGCGCCGAGACGCGCCGAGACGCGCCTGGTCCCTGTTAAAGGGTCGTACCGGGTAGAGGAGAAAGAAAGAACGAAAACGAGACGTAACGTCGCGTGCATGAAATTACCCCCACGAGTGTCGTAGATCGACGGAACCGAGCGGATTATTCGGTCCTGACGGCGGTTCGAGTGCGCGCCGGAAACGGAAGAACGGCTGCAGGACTGCTGCTAGCCTTCGCGAGGGTTGCTGCGAGGAGCAGGCCTCCTCGCAGTCTTTGTTAGGGTGAAAATATCGCGTCGCGAGCCATACGTCTTCCCGACAGGCGAAATAAGCGCGGGGACAATTGCAAGTTGCGAAGGCAACGGCTTCGTCCTCTGTCGCTTTCCCTTTTGCTTTCGCGGCTGGCTGCCACGTTGCTTCGTTTGCCGGGGATTCGATGAGAGGAAAATGGTAGAATTTTTGTAGGTCGTTGGGAAAAACGACGATCGATCAGGAAAGGTATCAGGCGTAGAAGAGGTATATAAGCAATTTCTCAAATTTTCCTAGATACAGAGATCAAAGTCGATTCTTCGCATTACTATTACAGTAACACGAACTATATTCCTCGTTCGCATTCACTGTACCTCTGATTCCTATCGGTTGAAAATTCTGCTTAACGCGTCTTTCATACGACACGAAAGAAATTAACCGTATTATAGAAGCTTTGACTGGTATTATAATACGCGTTACTGTGCGATAATTGTAACTAATTATTTATAAATATTATCATTAGAAAGGATCGGTAAAGTTCTTCTCGGAAAACTTTTAATAACATTGGCGCGAAACGGAAATTGTCGAGCAAGAAGAGAAAACGGCGTATAAATAGTGGCAGTTTGCGGAAGGAGTCGCGAGGAGGGAAAAGCCGGGGGTCAGATTAGAGGGTACGTTTGACAGATGACACTTGTCGATATCGTGTTTCGGTTAAACGCCATCGCATCCCCCTATTTCCACCATATCCGTCTTGCATTTGCATATAGAGTAAGTCTGTTGGCAAGGTCGGGCTCGCGTTGGCTGCGCGCTTTTATGGACTTAAGGAGAAAAGTAGCTCGAGGTGAAGCAGGTGGCAGGTTTGTTATCACGACTTCCGATTGGCCTGGCCGTGTTCCGCTTGTCAGGCAAACGTGCCGCCCGCCACGCGATATTTCCACGTCGACGTCGCTCATTTTTTTCTCCCTTCCCGCTACGCGATTAGAATAACTGGTTCCGCGTGATTGCTCCACTTATTACTCGCGCGTTCTTCCATTCCTGCCATCCGCTTCCTTATTGTTGCTCCTCGTTTCTTCGCCGGGTGAACGCGTCGAGATTAAGCCGATTCTGGTTTGGAACTGGTGCCAGCAGTTCAGGCTTATCGAGACAGTCTTTCTGTTTTGCAATTCGAAATTAAAAGCGACACGCGATTAAGGGTAGCGCGTAATCAACTGAGCGATTTTCTTCGTTTCTGTCGTGACAAAACTTACGTCAGACTCACTTGTCCGAAGTTTATTACAATAGAATAGGTAATTATCGCGAATAGATATCGAGAGTTAGTATAACGACGAAATAAGAAGACAGCGTACGATTTGCAAGGCACATGGTGCTACAGAGGGGTAACGAGTAATGTACTGCAACTTCGAGAAAAGGAAGGCACCAGTGTGTTTACATCCTCACGACCGATTAACTTCACCGACATTCCCTTGATCACAAGGAGTGATCGTTATTGGCTATCACCGAAAACGGTGACGAAGATCATCAGTGAAACGTCACTGCCTGTGATCATGGGAGTGTAAACGAAGGATGTAAACACACCGTCTTCTTTTCTCGAACGCACAGTACGTGCGTTCGCGCAAGACTCGTGGGTATAATGGATTAGAAATTTTCGAAGAAACGATGGAAAAGTAATGGTTAGGGAAATTTATAACGAAAGGAAAGGCGTGTTATAGAATTTCTTTGACGCTTCTTCGGAGCGAAGAAATTTGTACCCAGCGAATACGGCTTCTCGATCCCTCCGAGAGAAGACCCTTGAGCGTCGGGTTTTGGAGGAAAAACAGAGAGTTGCGAAAGAAGCTTCTTCGCGGAGCAGAAGACGAACCAATAAACATGATTCGCCTTATAATCTCGCTTTCCTTAGGAGAGCCGTATCCCCAGAGTTCTTCCGCTCAGGCAATCTAAGCGGGGAAATGGTTTTATGCACACAAGTGATACCCACGGGAACCGTTACCCCATCCAAGGACGTTGAATAATTGCTAGCAGCTATCTAACCGATTGAAAATCAAGGATACCGTGGGAATATCGGCTAAACGATTTAGCAACGATTTCGTTGCTTCCACTGTCGATGGCTGTCGATAGCGATCGCGATTCGTTGCTTATGATCACGCGCAGGGGTTGCAACGAAAATTCCATCTAGGGAATTACACGAATTCTACATCGAATTAGCAGAAATTGATTGCAATTTAAACAACATATATAATAATTATATAATTTCGAATTTCGAGAACTCCGACACTCGTGAACCACGCGAAAGAATGCCCCGGAATTAACGTCAAGCGAAATTCACGCTGGAAAATGGTGGAAGAAAATTTCGAAGCATTCTCGCGCAAGGATCAACGGAACGGGAGAAGGAGACACGGTGGAGTTCCGGTGAAAACGGTAATAGGTCCGAGGAACGAAATAAAGAAGAAAAGACGCGATGGAGGTAGGAAAAGGGTGGAAGAGACCCCGACTGGACCCGAGGTTGGCCATTATCCAAGCGGAGACGTGGATCACGATGCAAAACGCTCGGTCGGCGAGCACTTAGCGGCCCTTGGCCGCCTCTCGATTCCTTCTCTTTAGCCGTTTCAATGCCTCTAATCGTCACACGTAACAGACGTACACGTACGCGGTAATGGAATCGAGTAATATTCGATTCGATCGCGACTCGTCCTATCGATCGGGCTCAATTTTCTACAAAGGGTAACTCTCTGCTCGACGCACGTGTTGCGTTGCCGCCCGATACATTGTATCTCTTAAATGAGGGTCTACAGTGTGCTCGCGAGAAACCGAGGACTAGGTTGCTAGTTGAGGCTCTAGGGGCGTTATTAACCCTTCCGACGCGGCCGTCTCGTGCGTCAGTGCGTCAGTGCGTCTTCTCGCGCTGCGAGGTAACCTCGACCGAAGGATTTACTCCGCTTTACCAAAAGGTGTTAGGGATGAATGGGGAATTTTAAAGAGCGATTAAAGTCGCTGTCAGCGTATCGTGTTAGACGTTAGGTGACCATAGTCATCGGTATCATTGGTACCTAAGTTTAGGTTATACAGGACGATTGTCTCTTCGTTTTAACCTTCGAGTGATGGCCAATATTTTCATAGGACTAGTGGTAACGTGAAGTCACATTGACTCCGTATCAATAGCGGTGACTTGACATCAATTTGATATACGTCGTCACTTCAAAGTTAAATTTCAGAGGATGCAATTGTACAACTCGAAGTAAATGTAATTAATTAATTCATTTAAATCTATCCGGGATTTCTTTTCACGTTACTGCCAAGAGGTCGTTAACTTCGTGGCTGGGAAGCTTTAGTTGCTGGCTTCCTATAGCCAAGAAGTCTCCGTTTGCAGGGAATGTAGCGAATCGCAACGAGCGAAACGCGAGGTCTCGGTTTGACTAATTTCCTTTTAAATCGCGTTTCCAATCGCGTGGAAAAATATTTTTGTCGATGAACAGGTTAGAACTAGTACACGGGATGATGTGAAATAGATACACGTTGAATTTCTAATAACTGTTCACGCGTTTTCGTAGATCGTCAGCGAGATGCAGGTGTTCGTGAAATAAAACCTTAAGATATATTCTCCGCTTTAGCGGAATCACTTTCGACGCTCCTCAAGCGGCACTGAAAAATTTTATTGTCCATTTTCCACGATTACCGACCTCACTCGTTCACGCAACGCTTACGACGCGTCATTCCATGCATCCGATGATACTCTAGAACAGAGCCTTTCGCAAAAACCTCCAACGATTAGCTGCATCCGCGAAAGTGCAACGAACGCACGGTTAAATTTAACTAATCTCTCGTTCTAATCGCTAATTCCTTCAATTTTACACAGACACATGGAACGTTCTTATTCCTCAACGAGATCTCAAAAATCCGATATTCCATTTTCTTCGATTAATCGGGATCCTCAAATCCCATATTCTTAATCCAATATTCGATTTTCTTCGATTAATCGGAATTCTTAAATTTGATGTCCTTAATTCGATGTTCGATTTTCTTCGATTAATCGGAATTCTTAAATTCGATATTCTTAATTCGATATTCAATTTTCTTCGATTAATCAGAATCCTTAAATCCGCTATTCTTAATCCAATATTCGATTTCCTTCGATTAACCGGAATTCTTAAATTCGATATTCTTAATTCGATATTCAATTTTCTGTAATTAATCGGAATTCTTATATTCGATATCCTTAATCCGATATTCGATTTTCTACAATTAATCGGAATTCTTAAATTCGATGTCCCTAATCCAATATTCGATTTTCTTCGATTAATCGGAATTCTTAAATCCGATATTCAATTTTCTTCGATTAACCGGAATTCTTAAATTCGATATTCTTAATTCGATATTCAATTTTCTGCAATTAATCGGAATTCTTAAATCCGATATTCGATATCATTAAATTGATCGGAACAATTACGAACAAATTACGATTCAAGAATTTACAAACGAGATCAGTTGTCTCAGTTATAGTTTAAAATATCCATTTGTCAGTTTTCCATGCATTCGAATTACTCGTTACTTAATAAATTGAGAATAGGACGTTAGAGGAGAAGGGTATCAAGAGGCGAGCGAAATAATAGCAAATGTCATTATTTATACCACCGAGGTGAAATTCCCTGGCCTTTTCAATGTAACACAAGCCATCTCACCTGACAACTGATGTCTTGTTTCTCGGATAATAGCCTGGCGACGTGACGAACAGACGAAGCAACCTCGGAAGTGGCTCCAGCCTGTAGGGCCACGTCCAAAACTGCAAGGGTGTCCTTATCCCTCCGCAACGCGCACTGAAGCTCCGCCAAGCGTATACTGAACTGCTGGACAGCTTGCAGAGCGCACAATTGTTGATTGCCCCTGTAAAATACGGTTCATAGAAGGTTATTACAGGTGGGGATCCAGGCGACTGGATTTGCCAGGGGAATCTGCTCAGGTTTCACATCCGGAATCTTCGTATACCTGCTTTGAATCGAGAATACGTAACGTTCCGGTTCTAAGTCTCGCTAGTAGAACGAAGATATCGTTGGGACAAGTCGCTAAAAGAGAATTCCGATTACCTAGACGTAATCTAGGATGCACCCTTTTTCCTTCGCGCAATGGCCTCTCGCGAGGCTCGACAAACACCGGCTATTCCCAGGAATCGGCGAAAGCTGCGAAATTGAATGGAAAAATCGCGAGTCGGGTCAACACAATAAAAAGTGGAACGAGGGCAAAGCCTCTCGGCAAACAGTAAGGCGTGAAATTATTAGCGAATCTCCCCGATCCCGGCATCGGCAAATAGAAACACTTTAGGTCAATCCTAGCGCCCTAGGCTCGCTCCGTCCAATGAAACCAGGAAGACCGCTCTCGCTTATTTTTCGCATTGGCGTGCGATTGAAAAGATTCCTTCCTTTTGACAGGAAAAAGGAAAGAAAGGGGGAAGGAATTGGAATAAGTCGAGATCAAATTTTGCTATTGGATTGAAAGTAAATTATACGCGTATATAAAGGTTAAGAGAAAAGACGTGGAAGGACAGAATGGCCGACTCGGTGGTAGGACTAGCTAGGAAAAATGAAGAGTCGGGTATCAGGGATCGATTTGTACGTTATACGGCCGAGTCGCGTGCACTCGTGCAAAGAATAGAAATTCCTGGGGAGCGTCCGAGGGATAGGATTGACCTTTGCAAAAGCCCAGTGGGTCACTGGTAAACCCCTTTGCATGGGTCAGACCCCTATCAGACGGGGGAATCAAGTGCTCATACGGCAATTAAAACGCGAGTTGGGCAACCGCGGCGTGCCTTTCGCTTGCAACACGTATCAATTTCGAGGTCCGTAATTTGCTTGACCTGCCCGAGAAACGCCCCTGCGTTTAGAGCAAACGGCATCGCTTTGCTCGAATATTTGCACACGCGGAGACTTCGAAATAATTAATATACCGAGATATCGTATAATAAATCGCGAACCTTTACTTCGATTTTAAACACCATCGCTAGATTGTAATAATAATAGGCGTGCATATTTTTAAATTAGAAAATAATGCATTTTTTCTGCCGAATGATATATTTTGTAATTCGCTCATCGCGAAGAAAACTAGTCGATGAACGATTATCGTAATTTTTATAGAAAAATAATCGCGAATAATAATTGGTCGAGACAATGGTTAATGCCATAGAGGCATGGAAACAGACGGTCGGTTTAGAAATATCCAAGATTAAACTCGCGATCCCGGTTAAAACTAGTAATCCCGTGACACGGGTCGAAATCCCAAAGATTTGGGCCCTCGTTGCCGGTACCTATGGTGTCCATGGTTCCCGCTGTATTTGCTTTGGAGGCTTCATTGCCTCTCATAATATTTGCCCAACGTCACACGTCGACCAGCGAACGGTCAGTCAATGATCCTAAACCAGCTATTCCACGCGCTCCGAAACTCGATAACCTCGTACCCTCTCCGTGTGCAAAGACAATCTCTCGAACAAGGAAGACCTCGAGGAATTGTAAATGTCGTTAAGCGCCTAATCGCGCTATTCGACCACCTAATTTCCTTTCTTCCACGACTCTTCTTTGGCACGTTGAAAACGGCAGTGGAGATTTAACTGTCAATCCTTTCATAGCTTCCCAAGCGTTCGATATTTCTCCTTTTCTTAATTTCTTCCAAGTTTACGAATTTTTGAATCATTCTTCAGCGTCTTCGAATTATTTATAACAATCCCGATGATACCTTTACACTTCGGTACCTTCGATCATTTTTGGGAGAACAGCAATTATTTCTCGTTCGGAGAAATAATTGGAGGAATGTTTCGCGATACTCACTTTTGGAAAGTCTCGTCCCAGACGCGATACAGATCCGCCACGCCGTCCTTTAGCGCCGTGAAGATCAACGAGGCGGAGCCACCTAGATCGGTGATCAGTCTGTGCGTCGAGACGTTCAACGCCAGCATAGCCGCCTTGCGATCCCTTAACGCAGCCAGTTCAGCCTAGAACATTAAATATACATTTTTAGTGGTTGCCTTCTTCGGCTAACTCGAACGAATTGCTCCGTTCTCTGCGAGTGCGGCGCAGGGGCTCGCTTTGGGGTTGCGGGTGATGTATAAACTGGTCACAGCAGTAGACCAGCGGAAGCCGACTGTATATCTTTCAACCGGAACAAAGGACGCTTTATCATTCGCGTGGAGAACCGTACCGAACGATAGTTCAGCTGTCCACTTTGCTGACGCGAATAATAATCGCAATGGCGACTCGGATGATTAGGATTCGATTGTTTCCTCGTAAATCGATGTTACTCGCGTGTATCGAATTGCCAGATTCGTAGAGGACAAAATTTTATTTCGCAAACTTGGACACTCAGATTTTACGGAGGACCTTCTATGCCTGTGTGGAAGGAACTGGGTGTGATCGCGACATTCCGAGTATTTCACGCGGCGCAAGAGAAGTCGGTCGACTGTGATTGGCAACCGATCAGTAGGTTAGCCTAATCGCATGCACGCGCGTAAAAATGGGCACATGCGGATCTTTTTAATGGGCCAGACATTCACATCCACTAAATCGAAACGTATACGATCGTCGGTATCGTCTTTTTGCTCAGCTTCTCATAATACTTATGCAAATGTTTCATCTTTTTAATGTTTATATATACGATACTAATGCGTAATACCAATTAACAGCATCTTATATAAGCTAGGGTACTCTCGACCTTCGTGATGCAATCACGAGTCTAACTCGTAGCGAGTTCTTTCGTGTCAAATCTCACGATTAGAGACACGCCACCTTAATTATACCTAACGCGTTTTAACACTAATCGCGAAGCCGAGTTTTGACGATTGAAGCGATAACGTTGAATGTGGAATTTTTAATCAAAATTTGAAAAACTAGCACAAAGAAAATTCGAAGAATTTCTGGAATTGTTATGGTCAAATAATTGTCAAGACGAGTTTTGACAGTTGAAAGGCTAACACGTTGAACGTAGAATTTTTGAGGAAAGTTTTAGAAACAGCGATTTGGGTTATGGGCCCAGTGTGAAGATACAGAAAATTCGAAGAATTTCTGAAGTCATTGTGGCAGTGGTTAGCTAAAATTAAAAAATCACGATGCAAGGGATAAACTTCCCTCTGTCATTTCGGCATCCGCATCTGCATCGTCCATCTCGCGAGTCCTATTTTCGATATGGGGCGCACGGGGCCAGACAGGTCGGCATCAGGAGCGAAATAAGCGTGCGTTTGTCAGGAAGAACATAACCGAACTATAAGGGTTGTACCAGGGCTAGACGATGGAGTAACCACGTCACGTTGTCACGTCTCCGTCGTCCTACTGCAGGAGGCGACCGACGAGGGCCGCATAAATAAACCCAGCTTTACGACGGCGACGCAGCCCGTAACAGAACGAAAACGAGAGGCCCCTCCGCTTTCTCCGCTTCGTCCACCCTCTTGCCAACCCGCCCCGCGTGTCATTTCTCTCGCGTGACGAGCGCCAGAGTTCGGGAGAGCCTCGTAAAGCTGCTCTCCTTGCGGTCATCTCCACCCCCCCTGCCTTTCGTTTCCACTTTCGTGTACAGCCGAGTAATTCCTGCCGTCGAAACGACGGACTTTACTACTGTTTCCGTCTTGCATTTATATCGCGCGCCGATCGACCTCTCGAATTCCATCGAATCGCTCCTCCGCGTTTCTTTCGGGCCCTTGGAAATTGAAAGTTCGCTGCTCGGCTGAACCGGGGGGAAATCGGTTGGATAATTGGTCCTGAGGAACTGAGGTATTCCGATCGAATTTTTCCTTGGAGTACACCTTTTATTTAATCAAAAGGAGTTGGCGGAATTCGAATCGATTTCTTTTTGCAAGTATACCCTGGCTGTTGGAAGCTCTTCGTTTTTTAAAAAACGAGACGTATTTGAATAATATTCGTGCGCCTTTTCTCGTCGATAATCTTCGATTGTTTTCAGGTGACAGATGAAAGCGCGTGGTCTGAACGTAGTCCGGTTCTACTTGTTCAGTAGTATGAGGACGTAACTTTGGGTATGGTCAAACTTCGCGAGGAAAATTGGATGATAATCGAAGAAAGATGTTTTCGGTAAATTTTTCTTAAAAATATTCTCAGGGTGATATACATGCAAAATGTATATTGCGATAATATTGCGCACACGGTAGAAGTGACAAATAGGGTAGCAGATACGGATAAAAGGCTGACACTTTGCTTTCGTTCGAGATTCCCATCGCCCTCCATCAATCAAAGGATCTCCTCGGCTGCAACGGGAAATCATAAGGAGCGTGGAGCGTCATGGTGTCACTGATAGGATTTGACGTCGAGATTAGCTTTGTACGATACGTACACGTCACATTCCGTATTCCATTTGTTAATTTATCATTACTATTCGCTTCGTCGTACCCCCAGCGTTCTGTGGAAACTTCGAACTTTATGGAGTAGCACGCGTCATTTTCAATTATCTTTATTCTCATTACTTGGCGTCGAGTGACATTCCTAACATTTCTAACATCGCTTTCGTGTTTCTTTCTCTACGGTAAAATAAAAATTTCGCTCGTTTTCGTCTCAATTCTTTCCTTGGTGCCCAATAAAATCGTATAACATTCGTAGAGACAAATATATTCTCATTTGGAACCCGAAATTAACGCGAAGCCTTCCACGACTGGTCAAGTGATCAGAAGGTAGGAAAACGAAAGAACCTCTAAGAAAATGGAATGAGAAGAAGCATGGAGACAAGTGGCCGGAACGATAACGTTGAATACGGAATACTGAACCCTCGGAGGATCGACAAATCACGAAATATAATCGGTACCCCTGATCTGAGGATCAATATATTCATACGCGAGTTACTCGATAAAGGAATACGTCCGAAATATTCATTCTCCGGCTCTTTGACACGTTGACAGCCGCGCACTTTATATAGGACTTTCATTATTCTCAGAATAAAACGAGGAATTATCAAAAGATACTAATATTCTCCATTCGACGCTGTTTATCTTCGTCGTTCAAATTCCCAAAACATGGTTAAAACACAACAAATACAAATGCAAAAAATAGCTATATATGGTCATTGAGCCATCATCGCCATGCCAGCGAAGGTGTCACGGATGAACAGAAAATTGAAACGAGATCATTCGCGGCCTCGGTGTGAAATTTCAACCCCTTCGGAAAGGATAAAAATGTCTGACTGGGAAAAAGATTGCGACACTCCTCGAACGACTCCGTCACCCAGCTCTTCACCGCTCCCCTTAAACGGATTGGACGCAAAGGTCCGCGGCAGCGAATCGATATTCTTCGCGGCTGTCGTTAATCGATGCAAATCCGTGGACAAGGAAACGACGGATAGAACGATTCCGGACACGCTATCGAAGAGGCGAGACGCGTGAAAAGCAGTGGTGGACGGCTGGCGTGCGTGAGCCGAGAGGCTAGGAGGCGCAGACGGAGGAAGAG